TTATCGTCGCCAAAAGTTTTTTGGTGCTAAAAGTTTACCTTTTGTCGCCGCTAAATGTCTACTTTTAATTGCGATTATATTTGTCGTCATCAAAAATTATTAGAGACAAGACTTTTGGTGGCGACTCTTTGATAGTGAAAAGTCATTGCTTAAAACCTTTAGTTGCTACTAAAATTTAACTTTTTTAAAAAAAGTAAAAAGACATCTCATGTCACGTTAGCACGTCCTTGTGCAACGCCATCTAACACCTTATGCCACATCACCTGTCATGTCATCCCACCATGTGTGCGCTACATCATGCCACGTCACTTGACAACTTGTGCCATGTCATGCCACATCACCACCATGTGCCATATCACATATTCATTATGAATTGTGAAATTGTGAAATATACCTAAGCTAAGATTTGAGCCCTTGACCTCCATCTCCTAAGCTTTAAGTCGTCCTTTGTTGCCAGTTGAGCTGAAATGCACCTGCAATTATTATATATGAAATTAAATACATATTATTTAACTACATATACATATATCAAATAATATATTATAAAAAATATATACATATATATTTTATTTTATTTTCATTTATTAATATATTAAAATAATTTCTATGAGTGTATATATGTATATTATATTTTTTAATAAAATATTATTTTTGTTAGGAAAATGAACTTAAAATGAAATAATTTTTAAATATTAAATAATTTTATTATAAACATTTTTACCAATTTTTAAATTTTATTTTTATTTTTAAATGAAAAAATTAAGTATATAATTTATCTATAAGTATGTATTATATTACTTTATGTTAAATATCTTTTACATTTTTTTCATATTTTTCTCAAAAATTAATAAGTAAATTATTAAACTTTCATCTTCTCCCAAGTTAAATGCTTCCCCATCTTTTATGAAAAATAAATTTTATCTATAATTTTTCAATTATCTTAAAAATATTTTAATAAAACATTTATTTTACTCATATAATTTTTGTTGATAGTCATTTTGGACAATTATTCTTAGTAGATGCTAAACACAAAAAACTCTAAGTTAAAAATCTAAGCGGATATTTCATAATTAAAATAGAAGGATTCTTATCTTGACTCAATCTAAATTAATTTAGACTTCCATTAAAGTCTCTCTAACAAATTCAATCTAAAGTTAATAGAGAACACTTTTCAATAACTATACAATTTACAATAAACAAACTTTAATAAGTTTAGCACTACTGAAAAAATGTAAATTAGCGAGGGATCTTCTATTCCTCTCTAAAATACTGAATTAGCGAGGAAATTAGTGAGAGATATTAATTTTGTAGCTTGACTTACTATCAGCGAGGAAAATAGTGAGGGACTGTCAATCTCTCTTTAAAATAAGAGAGCTAGCAAGGAAAATAGTGAGTGACTGTCAATCCCTCTCTAAAACAAGATAATTAGCGAGAAAAATAGTGATGGACTACTAATCTCTCTCTAAAATAAGAGAATTAGTGAGGAAAATAGCAAGGGATTATCAATCCCTCTCTAAAATAAGACAATTAGTGAGGAAAATAGTGAGGGAGTACCAATCCTCTCTAAAATAAGATAATTAGCGAGGGATTTAGCAAGGAATTTTATCCCTAGCTAATTACTATAAAAAAATAACTTTTAACAATGACTTTTAATTATATTTTTAATTATTTTTATTTAAAAATAAAAATTAAATTTAAAAATTAACTAAAATATTCATAATAAAATTATTTAAATTTTAATATATTCTTTATTTTAAGTTAATTTTCATTAATAAAATAATATTTTATTAACAATATAATGTAAAGAATAATGTAAATAAAACATAAATATTTTTAACATATTAATAATTAAAAATAAAATTTAATATGTATATATGTTTGTATTTTTATAATATATTATTTGATATATTTATGTAGTTCAATAATATATATTTAATTTCTCATATAATAACTACAAGTGTCTTTCAATTCAACTGGCAAAGAAGGATAGTATGAGGCTTGAAAGGTATGAGATTAAGGGTTCAAGTCTTAGATTTGACATAAACATAATGAATATATAATATGGTAAGGAGCAAGTGACATGGCACAAGGTGAACAATGACATGTTATGAGTTGTCGCACATGTAATGGGTAATGGGGTACAAGGTGATGGGTAATGGGGCGGTTGATGAGGCACGAGGTTGTTGGTGATATGTTACAAGTTAACGCACACATGGCAAGTGATGAGATATCACTATTTTTAAATAAAGGCATATTTAATGAGGAATTAGTGAGAGTTTAGTCCCTCACTAAATTATCAAATTTTAAATAATATTAGCAAGGAATTTAGCGAGGAATTCAATCCCTTGCTAAAATTAGCAGGGGATTAAATCTCTCGCTAATTAGCAAGGGAAATACAATCCCTCGCTAAATTTAGTGAGCCTTTTTATAGCTATGAATTTAGCGAGGGACAAAATCCCTCATTAAAACACAATTTAATTAGAGAAAATGGCATTTAATGAGAGATTTGTCTCTCGCTAAATTTAATTTTTTATAATTCAAAAAACTGTCAACTATTCTCTACCTATTTTATTTATTGCTTATTTTAGATAACCATCAAATATGGAACATCTTATTTAGATGATCTTGGGATAGTGAAAAGTAAAGCTCAACAAATAAAGTAAACACCATTTATATATCAAGTCAAGTATCAAGTGTTTAATTTGTTAAGTAGTCTGCAATGCCATTTGCATCTTACAACATCTATATAACTTTAACATTCTAATGTTTATATATAACTTTAACATTCCAATGTTATTTATTTTTCATTCTATATATAAATACCTTTAGTGACAACAAATTTTTCCACTAAAATTATTTATAAAACATTTTTTAGTTTTTTAATTATTTTTTATAAAAATATTTTTGGTGGTGACAAATTGTAGCCATGAAAAGCAATTACATAAATTATTTTTAATTTTTTAATTATTTTTCATGAAAATATTTTTGGCGACGACCGTTTGTCGCCATTTAAAGTAATAACATAAAATATTTTTTATGAAAATAATTTTGGTAATTGGATAAATTATTTTAAATTTTTTAATTATTTTTTTATGAAAATACTTTTGGTATTGACATTTTTTCGCTGTTAAAAAATAATTACATAAATTAATTTAAATTTTTAATTATTTTTTATGAAAATACTTTTGATGGCGAAGGTTTGTTGCCACTAAACATTATTACAAAAATTATTTTTAATTTTTTAGTTATTTTTTTTATAAAAATACTTTTAAACACAAACCCTAAAAAAAAAATATTTTTTGACCAACAACATAGACCCTCAATTTAAAGTCTTTCCTTTTTGCCCGTAAAATTTATAATCTGACAGCATAAGAGCGTAAGAAAAAGTAAAATACAAAACTACATCTTGCACTTTGCCGATGCATTTTGATTTTAGGCATTAATTTTGTTTTATCATTCCCAACTCTTTTAATTTGATCTGCATTTAATAGTAGCTCTTAATTTGAAAGTGCACATAAGGACCATGGTATGATACTGATGATGTTAATTTTATTGACATTCTGTTAACTCCTTTGTTAATATGTACTTAATCTCTTGCTTTTATCAATTGCATTCTATTTAATCTAAATATACCATGAAGCATTTTTTTGGCTACCTTACCTTTTATTTTTAATTATACCTAGGCAATTTATTTATATGCCATGTTTTTATTGTGTTAGCAACAGAGTTATCGAGTTAATGTGGAATTAACTTCGTCAATGCCAGTTCATAACTGTTATATGTATTTTTAAAATTATAGAGATTAAAAGTTTTAAACGGAAATAATAAAATAAATATTGGAACTAAAAACGAAAAACAGTCAAAAGTACATAGATCTACAATTGTATTTCTTTTTATAAATAATAACCTTTGAAGTTTGGTCTTTGCAAATTAAAAAAAAAAGATTGTTTTAGGGGTATTTTTTTTTAGTATGTCACATTTTATTATATTATTCATTCATGTATTTTTTTTCGTTCTGTTGAATATCAAAGTATAGAATTTTTTTTTCTATCTAATGCTAAAGTAGAAACATGTGTTTTAGGAATGAGATTTGTGAATAATGCAGTTTATTATTCACTTTTTTTTATATCGATAATAGATATTTCAATAAAAATTAATTAACAATAAACTGAGTGTTTTAAAGTATAGTAATTATATGATTTAAGCAAAATTTAACAAATGTAAAAAAATAATAGTAATAATTAACATAATAAGAGAGTGCTATCCAAATGTGAGTAGATGTATAGATCACACGTTATGTTTTATGGGCATTGCTGTGGATCATGACACCGACCAAGATTACTGTCATTGAAGTTAATTATTACTACCATTATACCCACAGTTGTTTTAACTTTCTTTAATTAATTTTTACAGCATGAAGATGATGATGATCGCAAAACATCTTTAAAGATGTCAACTTATAATTTGCTATCAAATTAAAGGCACATAAAACATGCTAATTATTATCAAATGCAGTGTCTTATTACATAATAACTTTAAAAATATTATTGACGAGGCCCACCAACAAAACAACGATCTTTTTTGCCGCCTTTGATTTTTTTTTTTTAAAACAATGAGGGAAAAACAAATTAGTATGATGCTTTTAATAGTTGTTTTCAAAATCCTGTTTTACAAGTTAGGTATTGAAAATTAACAATACTAGTGAATGAAAATGTGTGCAGTAACTGATATAAATCTAGTTCCAGTGGACACGTCTGGAGAAATCTTTAACTGGACATTGACCAACAATAGCATGCTTCAACTCTGCCATGTCTCACGTTATTTCCCGTTGGACTTGTTCCACAACGACTTTGACTCACACGAACATGACCAGGGTGATTAATAAAGAGCCCAGAAACAAGCCTTGCATGATTATAAGTTAGCCCAGAAACAAGCCATACTTGCAAGGTGATAAGACATTGTCGTTTGGGGATCACTTTGTGTTAAGAAAGTAAGTAGAGATGTGTGTGATAGTGGCTTTGCTATTATGCTACGCTTCTATTACTAGTCAATCTGCTACCTTAATGAAAGCAGAGGAGAAACGTGCTCTGCTTCAAACCAAGTGGTGGAATACTAGTATTACTCCCTACAACGTCTCAGACCCTTGTTACTGGCATGACGAGATATCTTGCAATGATTTTGGAAGCGTTACTCAGATGTCTCCACTCCAAATCACTTCACAGCACCCTCGACTAGGAGATCTCAACTTGACAGCATTTTCTTATTTAGAAGAACTTGAGCTTTCAGGAATGGGTTTGACAGGTACCATATCAACTCAAATTGAAGCTCTTCAACATCTTAGACATTTGGGCTTGTCTTATAACAATCTTGCTGGTGAGTTATTTCGTATTCATACCAAACTCATTGAATTAGAAATATTGTATTTTTCTAGATATAAGCAAGAATCTTCTGCAACTTAATAAAATGTGATTTGATAGGTACCATTCCAATTCAAATAGAAGCTCTTCAAAATCTCACTCATTTGGACTTGTCTAATAATTGCCTTACTGGTGAGTTATTTTCTACTCTTCCAAACTTATCCAATTACAAAATTTGTATTTTCCTAGAAACAACCTAGAACCTGTACAACTTAATAAAATGTGATTTAATAAGTACTATTTCAATTCAAATAAAAGCTCTTCCACATCTGAACTATCTAAACTTGTCTTACAACAATATTACAAGTAACTTGTCTTAACTATGGAAGTGTTGTTAAGATGTATCGACCTAGAATCACATCACAACACCCTCGGCTAGCAGATCTCAACCTGGCTGCATTTCCTGACCTACAAAATCTGATACTTTCTAGAATTTTATAAAATTTTAAAAAAGGTATAGTACTGAAGAATTGTTTTAAAAGATTAAAATATTTAGCACATGTTTAGTAAGGGAAAAAAAACTTATAATATCGATCAAAGGCTTCTTTTTTGTGTTTTTTGTATAATGTTGTAATTCCTCTTGCTCTTACTTTTAATTTCAAAGTTTGAGTTTCATTCAAATTAATAGTAGGACCATTTTCAAACTATATGATATAAACAAATAAAATATAATTATAAAAAATTGACGCCATAGAAACTAACCACAATAACAAAGGGGGAAAAAAAAACATAAACAAGCTTTTGGTTGTAATAGGAGAAACTCCTTCTGCCAAAGTTCTGGTAAACTCCTTCATTCAAATAGTTATAATAGTGGCCAACTTTCTACACTCATTTGATCACATGGTATCTAAGCATATCCCTCTAAAAATATAGATTTAGATTCAGTAACTGTATTTAGTATGATCATTGAGTGTCTATACTATTTGAGCCATTAAAATCCATATCAATAGTTCAGATAAACTCAATTATTCATTAATTTTAAATGAAGTATGAATTTAAAACTATTAATTTAAATTTTAATGATTTAGATGACACAAACATTTAGTACAATCATCAAATTTAAATTCAAATCTAACTTGGATATTTTTGGATATTTTTGTTTCGGCTAGTGAGGTTAAGGAGTAGGAAGTGTTTTGGCTTAGGAGGACTTGGATGCCTTGATTGAGAGATTTTTCGGAGCTCTCACTGCCGTGTGATTGGTGGGCACATTTTGTGATCCTCAGTGCTATTAGTTCAAAGACAGAAAACTTGAACTTAGACTCTTAATTTAAAGTCTTTCCCTTTCGCTAGTAAAATTTATAATCTGTCAGTGTAAGAGATCATAAAACAGAAAAATATAAAAGTACCTCTTGTACTTTTATTCTGCATTTTGTTTTAGTATCTAAGTTTATTTTATTATTCTCATTCTTTTAGTTTGATCCATATTTGATAATAACTCTTATTTTAAAAATGCATAAAAGGACCATAATATTATATTGATGAAGTTAATTTTATTGACATGTATTTAATTCTGTTAACACCTTTGTTGACATATACTTAATCTCTTGCTTTCGTCCATCACATCGTATTTAATCTAAATGTACAATGAAGCTTTTTTTGGCCCCCTTGCCTTTTATTTTTAATTATACCTAGTCAATTTATTTCTATGCTGACATATTTTTATCGTTTTAGCGAAGGAGTTAGAGTTATAGTGAAATTAACTCCATCAATGCTAGCTCATAACAGTTATATGCATTTTTAAAATTGTAGAAATTAAAAGTTTTAGATGGATCAAACTAAAGGGATTAAAAATAATAAAATACTTATAGGGACTAAAAATCCATATGTGTGGGTCATTGTATATATCACTCATTTGTTATAAACTCATGATTATTATTCAATTTACGTTATGTTTATGGGCATTGCTGGGGAGCAAGACACCTACGAAGATCACTGACATTGAAGTTAATTACTATTATGGTCACACTTGTTTTACTTTTTATAATTAATTTTTACATAGCATTAAGAGAAGAAGATGATGATGATGACAAAACGTCTTTAAAGATGTCAACTAAAAAGTTACTTGGATAAAAAAGGTCACTATATCATATAAAAAAATTAAAGCAAATGTAAACTTATATGATATTTGGTTATTTGCCATCAAATTAAAGGCACAGAACACACAAACTGACCATTGTCAAACGCAGTGTCTTATCATATAATAACTTCAAAGAAATTATTATTGACGAGGCCCATCAACAAAAGGATGATCTTTTCCCTTTTTTGATTTTTAAAAACAAGGAGGGAAAAAACAAATTAGTATGATTCTTTTAACAGCTGTTTTTAAAATCAGATTTAACAAGTTAGGTATTGACAGTTAACGCTAATGGTCAAAGAAAGTGTCTGTATAGCACAAATCCAATTCCAGGAACATGTCTGGAAAAGTCTTTAATAGGGCATAGACCATAATAGCACACTTCAACTCTGCCCATCTCTCACGTTATTTCCTATTAGACTTGCTCCCAACGACTTTGACGCTCATGAACCAGAGTGCTTAATAAAGAGCCCAGAAACAAGCCTTGCGAGGTTATAAGTTACTTAATTTGGGGATCACTTTGTGTCGAGAAAGTAAGTAAAGATGGGTTTGATAGTGGCTTAACATGTCTGGACAAGTCTCTAGTAGGACAGAGACCATAACAGTGAAAATGATATACCTTTGAATCTTGGTTTGAATCTTCAGAGGCATGAAATTATATTTAATGCCTGAATAAATTTTTGGTCATTAATCTATGGCCATGACTTCATTAACAAGAAATTACTACCTCATCTTTCACAGTATACTAATAACTACTTTTAGTTTATTCAAAATATTTTAATTAAACAGTGTTTTTATTATTAGAAATGTTTTAATCCTTCGAATTATGTCCTCAGTGCAGAATTTTGGTGGTTTTTAAGCAGTTTTTAAAGACTTTTATGGAATATGGTAAACATTTTGGTCAACGTCTAAATACGTGTGTCAAATTTTTTGATCAACTAAATACCTGTGTCAAATTAAATGACTTCATTTTTTGAATCAGAAACAGGGCAATGCCCAACTTATTTTATTCAACTAGAAATTAGAAACTTTAAATTTTATAATTTAAACACAATTGAGAAATAATTTGAAAAGTTGATGGTCGGTGATGCACATGTTCGTCAACGTCAAAGTCATTGGAGCCAGTCCAAAGGTAAATAGAGGACATAATCATTGAGAAAGAACTTATTGAGGTATTAATGAAAATTACCCAGCTCTCAATGAAGTGTCACTATTATAAACTAGTACTATTCCATTCCACTGGAGTCTGAACATGTCTGGACAAGTCTGTCGTAGGACATGGACCCTAATGATAGACCTTTGAATCTTTAGAGGCAGGTAATTTATTAATGCCTCAACAATTTCGTGGTCATTAACCTATGGTCGTGACTTGCGATGAAATTACCCCATTCTTGGTCATCTATGCTCCAACCGTCCACCGACTTTGATGCTGACCGGAGTGATTACAAAAAGAGCGCACCGAGTAAACAATACTTGCAAGGTGATAATTAAGCTGTTGTCATTTGGGAATCACTTTGTGTTGAGAAAGTAAGTAGAGATCGATATGACATTGGCTTTACTATTATGCTATGCTTCTATTACTAGTGCATCTGCTATCTCAATGTAAGTGGAGGAGAAACTCGCTCTCAAGTAGCAGATCTCAACTTAACTGCATTTTCTTATCTAGAAAATCTTGTCCTTTTTAGAATGAGTTTGACAAGTATCATAACAATTTAAATTGGAGCTCTTCAACATCTTAGTTATTTAAGGTTGTCTTATAATAACATTACTAGTGAGTTATCTCCTACTTACACTAAACATATTGAATTAAAAATGTTGTATTTTTTAAGAAACAAGCAAAAATCTTCTGCAACTTAAAAACATGTTATTTGATATATACCATTCCAATTCAAATAAGAGCTCTTTAAAATCTCACTTATTTGGACTTGTCTAATATAACCACTTTACTGGTGAGTTATCTCCTAATATTACCAAACACATTAATTAGAAAGATATTTTTCTAGAAACAACCTAAAATCTCTACAACTTGACAAAATGTGAATTAACAGGTACAATTCCATCTTGAATAGGAACTCTTCAATATCTCGACTATTTGGACTTTTCTCACAACAACCTCACTGGTGAGTTATCTCCTACTCATACCAAACACATTGAATTAGAAATGTTGTATTTTTTAAGAAACAAGCAAGAATCTTCTGCAACTTAATTAAGTAATAGAAATAATTAACATAATAAGAGAGTGATATCCATATGTGCACATCACATACGTTATGTTTATGGGCATTGCTAGGGAGCATGACACCGACCAAGATCAATGACATTGAAATTAATTATTATTATTATTATTATAGTCACAGTTGTTTTACCGTTTTTAATGAATTTTTACAGCATGATGATGACGACGAAACATCTTTAAATTAAAGATGTCAACTAAAAGGTTAATTGGACAAAAAAAAAGTAACTATATCATATAAAAAAAGTAAAGCAAAATGTAAACTTATAATTTGCTATCAAATTAAAGGCACAGAAAACATGCTCATTCTTGTCAAATGCAGTGTCTTATTATATAATAACGTTAAAGATATTATTATTGACGAAGCCCATTAACAAAACAATGATCTTTTCCCACATTTGATTTTTAAAAACAATGAGGGAAAAACTAAAATAGTGTCATGCTTTTAATAATTGTTTTCAAAATCCTGTTTTACAAGTATTGAAGTTAACGCTAAGGTCAATGAAAGTGTGTGTAGTATAATTCCAGTTCCAGTAAACACGTTTGAAAAAGTCTTTAAAAGGACATAGACCAATAACAACAGTATACTTAATTCAACTCTGCCCATCTCTCACGTTATTTCCCATTGGACTTGCTCCAACGACTTTGACTCTCACGAACATGGCCAGAGTGATTAATAAAGAGCGCAGTTCATAAGCAATACTTGCAAGGTGATTAGGTGTTGTCATTTGGGGATCACTTAGTTTTGTGCTGAGAAAGTAAGTAAAGATAGGTGTGATAGTGGCATTACTATTATGCTACGCTTCTATTACTAGTGCATCTGCTACCTTGATGAAAGCAGAGGAGAAACTTGCTCTGCTACAAACCAAGTGGTGGATTACTACTAGTATTACTCCCTACATCTTAGACCCTTGTGATTGGGAAGAGATATCTAGTAACAAGTTTGGAAGTGTTACTTCGACATCTCCACCCCAAATCAATTCACAGCACCCTCGACTAGCAAATCTCAACTTGACAACATTTTTTTATCCAGAAAAACTTAAGCTTTTAGGAATGGGTTTGACAGGTATCATACCAATTCAAATTGGAGCTCTTCAACATCTTTATTATTTGAACTTGTCTCATAATAATCTTACTGATGAGTTACCTTCTACTCATACCAAACTCATTGAATTGGAAATGTTATAATTTTTTAGAAATAATATAAAACCTTTGCAACTTAATAAAATGTGAATTAACAGGTACAATTCCATTTCAAATAGGAGCTCTTCATAATCTCTACTATTTGGATTTTTCTTATAATAACCTCACTGGTGAGTTATTTACTATTCATACCAAAACTCATTAAATTATAAAGGTTGTATTTGATGACAAATAATATAGAACATTTGCGGCAACTCAATTCAATGGGTTTGACAGGTAGCATTCCAACTCAAATGGAAGCTCTTGAGTATCTCAGCTATGTAAACTTGTCTTTTACCAATATTACAAGTGAGTTATTATCCATCCTTGCTTGTAAAACTCAAAAAAATATTATTAAAATATTTAGCATACTTTTAGTATGAAAAAGAACTTAAAATATTGATCAAAGTCTTGTTACTTTAAATTTTAATTTTAAAATTTGAGTTTCCTTCGAATAAAGAATAGTCATTCTCAAACTTTATGATATGAACAAATGAAATATAATTATTAAAAACTTGACGCCTTATAAAATAACCACAATATTTTTTTAAAAAAAAAAGTTGTTGGTTGTAATAGGAGAAACTCCTTCAGCTAAAGTTTCAAAGTGATGAAAAGCTTTTGTTCTTTGAATAGCTGTAATAATGGCTAACCTTCCTACGCTTACCATTTGATCATTTCAATTAACTATTACCTGGTTCACCAAATAATACTATTGCCACAGCAAATGAGAAAAATGCACTACTTCATAGCAAATGGTGGAACATCAGTGATAGTGGCTCCAATTACCATTGTGATTGGGATGGCATATATTGCGATCCCTTCGGAAGAGTTATCAGGATAATTAACAAACAAAGAATCCATTCACAGCAATCTCGGAGGCTAACAGATCTCAACTTCACTGCATTTCAAAGTCTAACATATTTGAATCTTAATGGAATGGGGCTCACAGGTACTTCTCCATCTCAGTCTTCATTTATCTCATGAATTTGGACTTGCAAGTCCTACAATAATCTCACTTACCATAGATTTTCTCAATTTGAATAGAAATGATCTAGCTGGTTGAAACCATTCATTCAGCTTTGGGTTTTAAATATGACAGTAGTTCTCAAAATCTTATGCCTAATGCACAATTATATTCATTGCAGGTTATATCCCTTCTTCAATTTTTAATTTTCCAAATTTAGAAGAGTTTGATGTTTCTCAAAATCAAATAACTGGTGGCATACCAAAAGAGCTTGGATTAAATTCTCTTTCTCGTCTAAATATCTCCCACAATAAACCAAGTGGAAACGTGCCTTACCTTAATAACCGTTTCCATTTTCAAGGTGATTTTAGTCACAATAAAATCAGTGAAAAATTACCATCTGATACATGCAGTTTCCCATCAATATGTAGCATTGATTTGTGTTATAATAATATCTCTAGTATTGTACCAAGAGAACTTGGTATAAGTTGAGTTGCACCAACTTATCATACAATATTCTGAGTGGCTATGTTCCCAAAGAAGTTTATATCATAACTTATCAAAAAGACGGAAGACGCTTAAATATTGACAAAGATCATTAATAACATTGTGATCTCTTTATTCTTTGATTTTTCAATACAATAAGGAAAAAACTAAAATATCTATTACTGTCATTTTTAAAATCCTATTTCACAAATCTAACAAGTGAAAGGCTCAAAATAAACTTGATGATTTTCTTCGTGGAAGAATCATCCTTGAGAAACTAGTTACCATATTCTTTATCTTCTAATGTATTTTTCCCTCAACTTTTTTCTTCCTTGTTTTGAAGGCTTTCATCATTTTCGACATTCAATTTTGTCAGAAGTCACTGCCTTATATTGATTATAAGATCACTGTTACTTCATTGAAGTTTCTGGATAGCATACCATGACATTTTAGATCTATACTTTAAGAAAGACTTTAGTAAATGATTGAGATAATTTTATTGTTTCTAATATTGGACCTCTAAACTTATATATGTGAATTTTAAGAGCCAATAAAAATATGACAAAATAACCATTTTGTCTACCTTATCATCTTTGCAACTTGTGCATATGATCCCATCTCCCACGTCAAAAAATGAGAATGACTATTATATAAAAGTCAGTCTTCCTCGTTTATCTAGCGTCAAAGATAGGGCATCGATGGACCGTTAATTTGTTTTGGCATTTTATGGGTATTATGTATGGCCGTGATGATTTGGAAGAAATTATATCATTTGCCACCCATCTTTAACGTTATTAAAATTGTAAGAAAGCTACTAAAATTATAGAAATAAAATTAAAAAAAATCAATAAATATTCTGAGTAGATATTTTACAAATAAAAATATTTTTTATTTTTGGAAGTTACCTTTACACCCTCCGTCCCAAATATTTTATTATTTTAAAATGTAAGATAATTTGATATAAATAAAGTTTTATTAATGATGATTTTTCAATATTATGTTTTAAATAGTTGGAGAATTGAAATGATTGTAGTATAATAATTAAATGTATAGATTTAAAGTTATATTTAAATGAAGACATTTTTAAAAATTTATATTTTTATTTTAAAAAAAAGTTTATAAAGTATTATTATTAAACTTTATTGATGTGCATATCCATAGTTTAAAACATCTTAACCCAAGGGCTAGCCTTTTTTTTAAAAAAAAAAATCCAGGTCCAGTTGTTGCTCGCTCTGACTTATATTTTACAAGATTCTAAATTCAAATTGAACGTCCCAATATCCCATATCAATTCAATCTACTTGTATCTATTTAGAGATGTCGTTGCTTCACTCATTTAGGGATCACTTAGTGTTAAGAAAGTAATTAAGTAAAGATGGGATCATGGGAGTGATAGTGGCACTACTGTTATGCTATGCTGCTATTACTGGTGCTTCTTCTGTCATGGTAGCAGAGGAGAAACGTGCTCTGCATCAGACCAACTGGTTGCATATCACCGACCTGTCAAGCCTTTGTGAGTGGGATCAGTTTTCTTGCAACAAGTTTGGAAGCGTTCTTGAGATGGAACCAATGATGATTTTTAGTCCACAACACAATACTTTTTGCTAGCATATCTCAACCTAACTGCATCTCCCCATCTAGAATATCAGTTGTTCTCTAGAATTGGTTTGATAGGTATCATCCCAATTCAAATAGAAACTCTTTAAAATCTTATTCATTTGGATTTATTTTATGATAATCTTACTGGTAAGTTATCTACTATTCTTATAAAACTCATTGAATTAAAAAGGTTGTATTGGCCTAGAAACAACATAAAACCAATTAAAGTTTTTGATACAAAAACCAATTAAACTTTATATATTGTGATTTGACAGGTATTATTCCATCTCAAATAGAAACTCTTCAAAATCTCATTTGTTTGGACTTGTCTCATAACAATCTTAACGGTGAGTTATCTACTGCTCTTATAAAACTCATTGAATTAGAAAGATTGTAGTGATCTAGAAACAAGTTAGAGTTTGAAACTTAATATAATATGGTTTGACAGTACTATTCTATCTCAAATAGGAGCTCTTCAAAATCTTATTTATTTAGACTTGTCTCATAATAGCTTTGTGGGTGAATTACCTTGTAACCTCACCTAATTTGTATTTGATCTGAATAACTTGGAAGATTTCAAACTAAAAACAATGGGTTTTACAGGTACTGTTCCAATTCAGTTGGGAGATTATCTTCAACATCTTAATTATCTCAACTTGTCTGGTAACAAAATTACATGTGAGTTACTTTCCATCCTTATCAAACTATAAAATTAAATAAAAAAAGAATATATTGAATACATGTTTTAAAGGATTAAAATAGTTAACATACTTTTAGTTAAAAAAACGTATAAAATCAATCAAAGGCTTTTTTTTATATATATTTTATAATGCGCAATTCCTCGCACTCTTACTTCTAATTTCAATGTTTGTGTTTAATTCAAATAAAAAATACTCCCTTTAGACCATAATATAAACCATTGTTAACTAATTTGTGTTTTTTTTTTCAAAAAAGTTAGTTAAAATCTTGACTTTCTAAAAATTTTCACATTTTTTCAATTATACCCTTAAGTGTAATAAATATAAAATTTGACTAATTCAAAATATTCTCATTAATTACTCAATAAATAAGGCAGTAATTGAATATATAGATATATAACACCTATTCAACACATTATACTTTGGACCAAACGAGACTTTTAGAAAACATCTTATATTTTGATCTAGAGGGAGTAGTCATTTTCAAACTTTGATGATATGAACAAATCAAATATAAAAATAAATAATAGACCGCCCAATAAAATAACCACGAGAAAACATCAACAAGCTTTTGGTTGTAATGGGAGAAACTCCTTCAGCGAAAGTTTCGAAGTGATCATATGGTACGCTTTTGTAATTTAAATAATATAATAATGGCCAACTTTCCAATATAAAAAAGACTATACACTCGTTTAATAATCACTTCAACTAACTATTATAATGTGATGCCATTAATTATTTTGTTCACCAATGCTGATGCTACAGGGGAGACAGTAGAGAATCAAAAGCGCGCACTACTTCAGAGCAAATGGTGGAATATTAGCGATAGTGGATCCAACTACCACTACTGTGACTGGGATGGCATATCCTGTGACAACTTTGAAAATGTTGTTAAAATTAACCAACCAAGAATCCATTTAGAGCGGCCTCGGCTGACAGATCTCAACTTCACTGCATTTCAAGAACTAGAATATTTGATTCTTCGTGGAATGGGGCTAAAAGGTACAATCAACACCTCAAATAGAATCACATTTCAACTGTCTGAATTTTTCTTACAACAACCATACTGTATGTTACCTTGATTCTTGCAACTCTTTAAAGTAAGGTTATACTTACATAGACACAATTTAGATCTTTTAATGTGCACTTTACCTAATAAAATAGACTTGACAGGTATTGTTCCGTCTCAAATAGAAGTTCTTCAAAATCTCATCTATTTGGACTTATCTCATAACAACCTTACTGGTGAGTTACCTAGCTCTCTCACTAATTTGATTTGTATTTGATTTGCAACTCAAAGTAATTGATCGGTTTCACAAGTAGCTTTCCAACTCAGATAAATAGGTACTATTCAAAAATCTCACTCAAATTGATTTGTCTTATCACAACTTCACCAGTGACTTACCTTTCAGTTTTACTAACCTCGCTTAATTTGTATTTGGTCATCAATATAGCCTAGAATGTTTACAACTTAAATCAATGGGTTGCAGGTAACATTTCAACTCAGATAGAAGCTCTTCAACATCTTCGCTATCTAAACTTGTCTGATAACAATATTAAAAGTGAGTTACTTTCTATCATTACCAAACGATAAATTAAAGGAAAAAGGTATATTGAAGACATGTTTTAAAGGATTAAAATATTTTGCATATTTTTAGCATGTGATGTCATATTTGAATCTTCATGGAATGGGGTCAACAGTTACTTCTCCATCTCAAATTTGAGCTATTCGTTATCTCATGCATTTGAACTTGTATGTCTTACAATAATTTCACTTACCATCCCCCTCCAACCTTACATAGAATTGCTCAATTTGAATAGAAACAATCTAGTTGGAGCCATTCCTTCAGCTTTGGATTTTATGTCAAATCTCAAGTCTCAAAATCTTATATTTATGCACACATTTATTCACTATGCAGGTTATCTCCCTTCTTCAATTTTCAATCTGACAAACTTAGAAGAGCTTGATGTTTCTCAAAATCAAATAATTGGTGGTATACCAAAAGAGTTTGGAAATTTCCATTCTCTTACTGTTAATCTCTCCCACAATAAGCTAACAGGAAACGTTCCTTACCTTAGGAACTATCTCGATTTTCAAGTTGATTTGAGTCACAACAAAATTAATGGAGAATTACCATCAAACATATGCACTTCCCCATCAAAATGTAGCATTGATTTGAGCTACAATAATGTCCATGGTATTATACCAATAGAACTTCGTATGTTGAAATACATCAACTTATCATACAATATTTTGAGTGGATATGTTCCGAGAGAAGTTTATAGCTCTTTTCCTCCAGATGTTTTTATTGGCAATAAAGAATTACTTGGTTTAGAAAAGATCCATGATTCTTCCAAATTTCTGAAGATCATTATTCCTTTGACAATATTTATTTCCATCATATTATTTGTGGGTTTGGTCTTCATTATATCATTAAAAAAGAATGGGGAATCCAAGATTGAGAGGAGAGAAACAAAAAAAGGAGATTTGTTTTCCATATGGAATTTTGATGGTAAAATTGCATATGAAGATATCATTGAAGCAACAAAGGACTTTGACATTAGATATTGTATTGGAACTGGTGCCTATGGAAGTGTTTACAGGACAGAACTTCCAAGTGGCAAGATTGTAGCTGTGAAAAAACTTCATGGGAGAGAATATGAAAACCCAACATTTTCAAAGAGTTTTCACAATGAAGTGAAAATGCTAATTGAAATTCGACATCGCAGTATTGTAAAGCTTCATGGCTTTTGTTTGCATAATCAATGCATGTTTCTCATCTATGAATACATGGAAAGTGGAAGCCTTTTGTATGTTTTGAACCATGATGATGAAGCTAAAGAGTTGGATTGGAGCAAGAGAGTGAATGCCATAAAGCGGATAGCAAATGCCTTGTTTTACATGCATCATGATTGTGCTCCCCCAATTATCCATCGAGACATAACAAGTAGTAATATACTGTTGAACTCAAAGATGGAGGCTTTTATATCTGACTTTGGCACAGCAAGAATCATTGATCCAAATTCATCAAATCAAACTCTTTTAGTTGGTACATATGGTTATGTTGCTCCAGGTTAGCTTTTCTTATTCCACTACTTCTCTTATTATGCTGTGTTTTATTTTTAAAATTACTTACCCTGAGAAGGAAAATAATACATAATTTCTTTAATTTTGATCCATTACAGAGCTTGCGTACACCTTAGTTGTGACCGAAAAATGTGATGTGTATAGTTTTGGAGTGGTGACATTGGAAACAATCATCGGTAAACATCCTGGAGATTTAATATCATCTATGTCAAAGGCCTGCACTAAAAGCATTTTGTTAAAAGATGTTGTGGACACACGTCTCCCACTACCATTAAGACAAGATGCAAGAGATGTGATTCTTTTGGTCACAATAGCAATAGCATGCTTGAATCCATCTCCCAAATCTCGACCAACAATGCAGCAAGTGACTCAAAGGCTATTGTTGCCCAAGCTGGAGTCATTCACTATTCCTTTCAATGATATCTCAATTCAACATATAGTGAATCAAGATATACAAATTATCTAGTCTTGTGAAAGGCTAGGGCATTTGGCTCTCTATTTGCTTGGTACCTTCAATTAAACTTTTACGGACTAGCCTTGAAGTCTAGAATTGAAGTATGCTTGTGTTTAATTTCTTGTAGCTGATATTTCTCTATAAACCAAAAACTCAACCCTTTTGAGGTTTCGCCAAACCATCCCTCGTGTACATGTCCACATTCCCTCATCCCCAAAAAAACTTATGTGTAGTGCTTTTGTGTATATTTGTTGATAGGAAACTGAGATTACAAAGCATATATGGTAATTAAAGAAATATTATAAATACACACACACATAACAAAACATAAATATTTCAATATATTCATATGTAATTGTAAAGTTTTGCTGATCGATTTTTCATGGCATAAAATAATCAATTATTGCTTGTGGTAAACTTTTATTCAATTTTCTTCACAATATAAATTTTCATTAAATAAGTAAAAAATTCATATTCCACCTTGTTGTGATCGGAGCGTATGTCTTTATAATTTTTATAGTTGAAAAAGTTATTAAAAATATTTACTGTGTTTTTTTTTCAAATATCATTTTATGCTTAAATTTTGTTACTACCAAAATACAAACAAATATATTTTGAGGGGCTAAAAATATATAATTACTTCATTTTTCAGAAATAAAATAAAATAAAATAAAAGCTCCCCTGATCCCTTCTCCCCCCGTATTCGCCATTGTGCCCATTGGGGTCATCTTTAATTAAATTAATTGAAATCAGTTATTATAAAATTGAGTATTTTCTTGCATAGGAATTTACTTTTTTTATTTAAATTTTGTTATACACATATAATAATCTTAGTTACAAATCATTGTAAATGACCTGAGACATGCATGTGTTATTTCCAATTTAAAAATTTACAAATCATTTTTCACCAATATTTTTTGAGATCTAAAAGATTGATGTCCTCTCCCTCACTTTTTTCTTATAAAAATATCTAGCATCCAAAATTTGGATCCCCTGCACCTGCAATAAGTTTTGCATGTGGTGCTTTGGTGCAATTATAAGGGTAAAAGAGCAACTTGATCCATAAAATATAAATCAAGTAACGCATCCTAAATTTATTTTTTTGGGAGAATTTCTTAAATGGACAAGGTGCATCATGTCATCTATAGTTCATCTAATAAAAACATAACATTTAGATGATATTAAATATAAATTGATTATGATATTAATGCTAGTAGAAAGAAAAGATAAGAAATTAAATAGGTATTCTATTATAAAAATAAATTTATTAAAAATAATGACATACAAGATGATATTAAATAAAATCATGACATTAGATAATATTAAATATAAATTGATTATGACACTAACAATAGTAAAGAGAAAAGACAAGAAATTAAATAGGTATTCAATTATAAAAATAAAATTATTAAAAACAATGACTACAAGATTATATTTGATTGAATTGGTGCAATTTTATTGGATGGACTATGGATGATGTGGTATATTCAGTCCACATGAGAATTTCTCTTATTTTTGGTAAAAATAATGTTCCCCTTTACTTTTAAAAATAGTGCAATATGTTGAATCTTGATTTTGATGATTACAACATAGAGAAGTGTTTATTGTGCAAAGATTTTAATTACAAAAATTAAGAGTATATACTTAATCTCTAGCTCCCTATTCTTTTCTGTTATTTTACTCGTGTCCTGAGTTTCTTTGTTTCATTAAGGGATAAATATTTGATTTATATCTTATTGTCTAATTAAATGTATCTTGGGTCTTGGGAGTCTTCAGCTAGAATTTAAATTTCTATTCAATTTGTGTCAATGCTGAGTCTTATGTTGAAATTCCAAATTACTTATATCAATACAATGTTGTTATACCGGTACAGTCATTCTGTACCCAAATAAGTCTCTCCTTTGTTCATCCCCTTATATCGGTACAACTTGTGTCACACCCTAGTATTAAGAGTATGATCAACATAGAATATGAGACAAATTCTAATTCTATAAGCCTTAATTAACTAGAGATTTAAGCTAAAATATTAATAAATAATTCAAGTATAATTAATAAGTTTGTAAAGTCTTCAATATTTTATAGAAATTTTGGCAGATTTTTCCCTAAAATTTGGACATCCAAAATTTTTACAATAGTGGAACTTGTCAACCATTCTAGCAAAGGAAACTAACTCTATATTAGCAAATTATATATCAACAAAATAAAATTAGAACCTAACTACGGTATATATGGAGCCTAAATTACAATTACATAATACCATTGATATTTACATAAAAAATAACCAAAACATGCCTCCATTGTCCAAAAAGCAATATTACCCTTCAATGATCAGCAAGAGGCATAGGGTCAGCTATAATATTTAAGATAAAAAATATTTTCTGGTGAGTAGTATTCCAATTGAGATTATAAGCAAAAATAAAGAACAATAATAGATAATAAGATTAGATAAAGAAAATCAATAACATTTCAAACACACACACACACAATTTTATGTCACCTTTAAAAACTTCTTTACCAGCTTACATTTAAAACATAAATAAAGAATAAGACAGTTTCAATAATGCATCATTTATAGAAAAAAGAATAGGAACAGGAAATGAAAATTTGATAAATTATAACGAAATAACAGTACAATTTAAGCAAAGGAATTTATAAAAAAAAAATTAATAAGTACTTAATTGGAACGCTACATCACCCACCTGTTGAGCTTTCCAAAATTTTATAGCTCAATTTCCTCAAGTTCCCACTTATATCTCAATGTTACCATTAATTCCTAATAAATAAATTACAGTTCTAAAATCACACATTCGTTATATTCTGAATGTAAATAAATAAGCATTTTACAACCTAGCTTCCAACACTAGCTAACAACATTCTATTTACCCCGTTAAGCACTCATTACATTCTTCAATATTACTTACCAAGAATTTCCTAGCGTCTAGTGGCATTCAAATTAATTCCAAACAACGTCACAGCCAACAAGTTCATTATCAAATTAATAACTTAATAATAACCCCGCAAGAGCAAAAGAAGACCTTTCCAATCTTTTTATGCCTTATTAATGCTTGATGAATCACCACAAACCAAATTATAAGCAGCTTCATACTCTATAATATATCAACAGTTAAATTTTTAAGCAATACTCATGATAACACTATGTATATTTAAGTTTCAAGTACACTTAAGTCAATTAAATGATTTGACAATTCTTAATTCATTCTTATACTTCCTTATAACCCTTCCTCAATCATACTTCATAATATATTATATTAACAATTGTTATACTTCCTTTAAACTTATTAAGATACTATACAAGAATACTATGTAATCCTTTCTCCTATTTTGGTATTTTAAAATTTCAATCAATGGCTCAAGCCACTTCTCACACATATTATTTCAAGCTATATTATAACAATTTAACAAAATTATTTCCACCAATTTCTTCAATCCAGGATTTCCACAAATATCTTGAGGGCATTCTCCATTAACTAAATCATGAGATAAGTTCATCCAAGCTCTTCAAACATAATATTCTACAATCAAGATTCAATTTGGCATCCATGAATTAATATATAGCATCAGTCACACATCAACTACAATAAAACATTCCCAAAATAAAACACAACAGTACAGGTAAGAGAGGAGCAGAGAAGATCAGCTAGCACAAGGAAAAAAAAAGAACCAAATTACATACACACGCATGCACATCCAGCAGTTGAGGAGGAAGAAAATTTGAAAGCTGAATGTGGGCACACACACTACCGTCAAGTCGTCAACCTAGAATAGAGAGCCAGAAGTAGGGGACAATGAACAAAGGAATTCCAGTGACTCTACACTCCAAGTAGTAGAAACGCATAGTGAGGGAAGGCAAAGACTAACAGCGAGAAAGAAACAGCCATTGGTGAGGACCAAGGAGCAATCAGACGAAGAAGAGTAAAGGAAGAATCTAACAATCGCTCGCTCTCTCTTTCTCACACACAATTCTTTGCCAGTCATTGAAGGAACAAGAAGAAATTTCATAAAGCTCACTTGGAGACAATTACAAAAAAGCCCACAAGATATTTTCTTATATAACATAAGAGTCAAGGACACTTTGGTAATTTTGTTTAACACCATCAAAATAAAATCACCTTTGGTATAGGTAAGATTCAAACTCTTGACATCTAAATAGCAACCAACAATGATTTCCATTAGGCCACTACTCCCCATCTGCTATAAACTAAAATAATTAAATAAAATATCAATAGGGAAGGAAAAATCATTAAATATAAATTTTAGAGTCATTACAGCTTGCTTATATTAGTATAGTATACTCAATTTCACAAATTGTTTGTTATACCGACATACTTCTCTCTTGGGGTATAAAACCACTCTTATAGACCCTCTCTTGGGGTATAACCACGTTATTTTGGTATAGCTCATAATCAAATATAGTCTTTTACATAAAGGTATCCCGATGCATCTTCTTTGTACTTGTATAGTAGTCTGGCACTTCTTCATTGAAATATTCTTGCTTATACCGATATAAGTAAGCTATACTAATGCAGTGATGAAGATTCGTGCTCTATTTTTTTGATTTTACTATTTATGCAATTCAAAGGTCACTCATAATTTCATTCTTTCATAATCTAAGCTTTGCGCGATGACTTTCTATATTTTTATATATTTTGAAGAGTTTTATTGATCTTTTAGGGAGACATCTAGTTTTTTTTAAAAAAAAATTTGCCTTGTGTTTAGCATTTATTTTGGTATTAGTTAGCTTGTTTTATGAATATTGTGCTTTGATTTTGTTTTATAGTATTTTCTTTTATTAATTTGAGTCATTTTGGATTTAGGAAACTCTACAAGAGCTTGGAAGAGGTGAAAAAAGAAAATATAATAAATTTAATAAAAAAATTGAATTGTTATGATCACCCGCTATAGCAGCCACTATAGTGGGTTAGTATTATAAGGCAAATTCTAAATCAGAAACAAAGTCTGCTGCAGTGGGTTTCACACTAGAACACATAGTT